TGCTTGCTTTCTTTGCATATGTGATATCTCATGACATGTAGTGCTATGATTTGTGTCACTTGGAGAGATAATGTTGTAAGAGTTGGAAATATACTTTAACCTTGAAGTGTGATCCAAACCTCCCTTTAAAAAAAGTCCAGAACTTGAATCTTAAGGAATAAAGATTGTGCAAGGTGTCAATTGCATTAGGACACATATCTGAGGAAATGCAACCCAAGATTTGGTTGTACCTGTAACCATTTAGGGTATGGGCGGGTTGCCCCTTAATCATAGTTAAGAGACAAGATTGTTTTTTGTGGCTTAGACCAAACAACTCATTTTCAGAAGCAAGCAGCTGATGAATCAATGCAGAGCCTCACATTTTGGTCCAGTTTCACAGTCAGTGACATTGATGCAGATCTGACAATACTAATGTGCCTTTGCTTGAGCTTGCGCTGGTTTTCTAATTAGCAACACCGCACTTTTGAAATATAAGTGGCCCCTTTTTAGAAATACCCTTCCTAATACTGGCTTTAACATAAACGAGTCCTTGCTTAATTAAAAGCCTTTCCTAGCCTTTCTTTCCCCACACCCTTTCGTAGTCCCTCATTCTCTCTCTTCCATGGTTCTCATCACTGCTGCAGTAAAGTGCCCCTTTGGGAGCAGTGCTTTGCTCTGAATGGCGATGATTGCACCAAAGTAAACAGAGTGGCTACATCTGAGCCCGCTCTGAAAACCCTGAAAGCGAGCCTGTAATTGAAATCCTAACAGACACTTCTGAGTTGAAACAAGCTACCAATTAAGTCTATTATCCTTGCTAAAGGGCAGGGGGGAGCGGCCCTCCCTGCTCCATCACAAGTGGGCGAAATAGTAGGTTGCCATTTCTATTCTTGGAGTCACTGAAGGCAACAGAAGTTGTTGCCCTGTGATCAGAACCCTGGATAAAGAAATCAGGGCCGAATGTTTCAAGAACGATTTCTGTTTGTTTTCCTAACCCTTATTATTCTGTGGCAGATGTCCTCACTTCCCACCATGGCCAGATGATAGTGGTTTGCTGAGTGACAGCTGGCAAAACAGGGATGTTCCATTATTTCACAAGTTGTTTACCACCCTGATGACTCTTTGGGTTTGGCTGTGCCATGACTTGTCCTCCTGCCCAACTCTAGGAAAGTCACAGGACTGACAAGAGCTGAAAGCTGACAGAAGAGGCAGTCCTTTGAATCAATATGACAGCTCTGAGCGCCCCCTGGCCTCTCCTTGCCACAGAGCTAACAGGAAGGTAGTTCCTTCAAGTAGTGTTCATTGTAATCCTACAATGGCTCCCTTCATTTCAAACACAACACAATGCTCAGTGTTCTATTTCATCAGCATGCCATGTTTTGTGTTGAGCTTGCACCCATTTTATTCAATATAGGAGATAATATCTAGTACAAATGAACAGTTGACCATTACCCTCAAGAATTTTTTAACCTTTTGTATTATTAATTTAGAAGTGTGTGTTATGTGCCATGAAGTCACTTCTGACTTATAGCAACCTAATTGGCATTTCAAGGTATGTGAGATGTTTAAGGCATAATCTTACTTGTGACAGACCCACATAGACACAGACACACAGACACAGAGAGAGAGAGAGAGAGAGAGAGAGTTGAGCAAAATGAATTGCAGTCTAATATTCTGCCCATTACACTACACTGACAATAGGACAAAAAAAGCTAACTTTCTCTAATCTTACCACATATCTCTTTCTGAAAACCCCTATTATTTGGCAACCCCAAAACAATTAATAATAGAAGAGCTGGGATTCAAAAGACTTATTACACAGTTAGATTAGATCACACAGTTTACTTGTTGGGGTAAACCACAAAAAGAAAGCACAAATACAGAAAGCAACTGAGAGATTTTAAAATAATTTGAATGCATGTAGTTACTCCAACTATTCCATTTTAGCAGCAATTTGATCATGAAGCCAGTGGTCACACATCCCATTATCATTTGCATCACAAACTCAAGTAGCTTAATGTTTATCCATTCATTTATTTAATATGTACCCTGCCTTTCTTCAAATACAGGGAATCAAGGCAACTTGCAAAATTTTAAAAGGACAGCTTTAAATATGGTAAATGACGGTATTAGGAAGCAACTAAATATATTACATATTAAAACAACTGAATAAAAGAAGTTAAAATAATTTAAAGGCATTATAATGGGTTATAAATACCACAATGTTTCTTTATGCAACTGAAAAAAGAACATAGCTTCAGACAAAGCAAATACAGTCACAGAATCTATGGGAGATTCAGTTGACTTGAAAGAGGTGTGAGAGATGGTGGCGGCAGAAAGATTCTGCACAAAGTGAAGCAATATGAGCCTAATGTAAATTTGTATAGCACAAAATGAGAGAAAATAGTTTAAAATTAAACATAGGTAATACATCTCTCTTAATTCAAAGCTACGCATGTAGCTACATTGCTTCAGAGTACTGTTGTGAATATAACATGAAACTATAATTCTACATGTAGTGAGAATGTGAGGTCAGTATAGATTTTTGGGCAAAATTCTATAAAGAATAGAACAGATAATCAAACAAGTTATAAAATGTGACCCTTTTATTACTGACTATTTGCAATGATGCTAACAAGACAATACCACACAAAGAAATATAGACTTCCTTATTAATGCCTGCCACAAGTTGTGTTGTAGCTAATACCTGCAATTATTTTTTATGAAGCAAGCATTGGCAACAGTAGACTATGGGCTATTTCACTATCAGAAAACGAAATGAAACAAGTTATGAGAGGAAATTGCAGAGACTGAAAAGATTGACAAACAGGGCTGCTGTTTTCACCCGCACAGGGGTACTGGTAATACAGATATGAAGCCACCAAGAATGCATGGGTGAAAAAGCATCACTGACTAGAGGGCCAACCATATCATGAGGAAAAGTGAAGCAGCCATCTCAAGCAATAGATCTGGGTGTGACATGAAAGAGGACTAAGTGTTCTATGCATCATGACCAGATTGAGTAGAGGATGCTATTCCTGCTTTGCCTCAGGGGGGAAAAAACGCTTTGGGCCAACTCTGCATTATTAGTCAGTGCAAATCCTCAATAAATTTATCTTGCTATCCAACACCTAACAGATCCGAATTAACTCTATATGTGATATATTCTTAATACACATCCATTTCAGTTTATCTTTATGTTTTTTAAATTGTATTTAATTGATAACCCCCACTGGTAGTCCCAGCTGCAATGAACCCATGGAAATGAATGAATGGACGAAGGAGTCACAAGTTATGGAAATTCCACTGATTGAAGTAGGTCTGCTATGTTTGGAACTTGGGATTCCCAGTGTGGTGGATAGAGTGACAGACTAGCATTCTGGAGAAGAAGGTTCAAATCCCCGCTCAGCCACGGAAACTCACTGGGGGAGTGGAACTTGTAAAACCACTGCTTAAATATATCACTTACCTTGAATGTCCTATTAGTGTCATCATAAATTGGTTCCGAATTAATGGCACAGAACAAATACATGTTTAGAACTAACCTTGAGTTTAGCACAGGTAGATAGGTAGGTGCGGTTAAATTTGTTTTAGTCTATAGCTTTATTGTTACATTTTGAAAAGGTATGGTGGATGCTGTTTCCTGAAGCAACACTGAAATATTAAACAAACGAATGCTCAGGAGAATGCTGAACCATGTGAATTGGCTGGTTTTATTTCTATCAGTTTCTCTTTTTTTGTTATTGATTCTTTTAGGCAGGAGGGAAGCATTACCACCCCACTTGTGCCAGATGTGTCCGTTGCCACCAGATGTTCACAGAAGGGGAAGAGATGTACCTCACAGGTAGGGATAACAGCTCCTTGGGCAAAAGATTACATTATGGAGCAAACTGTCTATTTCTGCCATACAGAGAACCCTAGTACTGTACTCAGAACGTGCACTTTTAATGTTTGTTAATGCTACTGAGAAAACATGCATTGAGAGCTATGTGCTGCCTCTCTGAAGGTCACTGCGTCCTTCATCCTGATACACTGTGGATTTCATTTGAGATATGTTGATTAATCTCCACTACACATTGCATGGAATATAGATTCATATTATCAGTCCCATTTCAAGAAGGGTGTGCTGAGATTTTCAAATAGAGGCCTTGTGATTAAGCCCCAAGGCAAACTTCTTTGAATGTTCTGATTGCAAGAAGCTTTAGCTCACTGAGGAGGTTAAGAAAAGTAGAAGTTGGGAGGCAGGGGGAAGAGAGAGAAAGAGAAGCAACTGGATCTCAGTATGAGTGTTTAAATCGTCTTTCTCCCAAAGGTTTATTTTCAGCACAGAGGGAAGAATGTTTGTCTCTTAGACAACCTTTAGGTGCTTGTCACCCCAGTTCATTAATTACACTATGTCTATCTGTGTTAATTGCAGGGTTGCTATCTTCCCACCCTCACACTGAAGGAACTATATAAGCTGCTTTCTCTAGGGGGTGGCAGTTAGTTCACTGTGGAAGAGTACATGTGCCATTAGTCTCACATTGGTCTATCAACCACTGTGATGTTAAGGAAAACTCTGCCACTGTGGTGTGGCAGGGAGAAAGGGGAGATCCCACTCTAAGGTGTGCACCTGGCCATCATCCCTGATCATCAGCTTGTGAGAGGTACCCTGTTGCTATGGCGACTGTGGCCCTGGCAGCTTACAAACTTCTAAAAGAATAAAAACAGATACAACCACAATTAGCATTAAAAATTAATACAAATCATGTAACCCCCCACCCAAAAAAAATCCTGAAAATTTCAGCAAAATACATTGTTGTTGTTTAGTCGTTTAGTTGTGTCCGACTCATCGTGACCCCATGGATCAGAGCACACCAGGCCCTCTTGTCTTCTACTGCCTCCCGGAGCTGGGCCAAATTCATGTTGGTCGCTTCGATGACACTGTCCAACCATTTCATCCTCTGTCGTCCCCTTCTCCTCTTGCCCTC